CAAAGAAGAAGAGTTTTACTTTGTAATGAGATAATATAAGTGGTGATTCTATAGTCTTGAGTCCTAATTTTCGAGGGTCGAAAATTTTTGATGTGTGTGGAGATGTAAGGGCCTGTACATACATTATAAAGGGCCTTTGGCCCTTATGTGGGGCAGCCGAGGGGCCCCATCAAACTAAGGCCAACTTGACCTTAGGAGGTTGCCTTCAGAACCATTTTTCTTCCCCCTGAAACTTCATTTCTCCTCTCTCTCAAACTCTCATGCCCTAAACGCCTCTCTTGCCTTCCTCCCTAAATTTCCAGCTCTTTGGAACTTTTCATCTATCTTTGAGTTGGAGGTGGCGTCCAGACGTTCATCTCCACCACCGAAGTCCTTCCTTTTTGAACCGATCCAATTTTTTCCGATTGGACCCGGTGAGTCCCAACTTTTCCCTCTCTGTCTCCATTCTAAAACCTAGAACATAATGCTACTGGTTGTATGTTACTAGGGGGTTTTGTTATAATGTTTGTTTGTAAATCAAGCTCTAAGAGCTGTTAATTACTACGTCACCACCTTGGTGGTTTGTAGGTTTTGGTTGAGTTCTCATTTGGTTGAACACCGTAAAGGAGTGTTCCTATGAGCTTGGTAAGGTCGACTCTGAGGTAAGGGGTAGCTAGACCGTTTTTCTTCTGATTTTAATTGTATGAGGTGTATGTGTGTTTTTGAATCTGAACGTGTTTGTGGCTGTTAAAGTTGAAGTTTTAAAGATATGAAATGTGTAGAATAATTATTTACTGACATGTTCTTATGGTGAAACTGTAAATAGTTATATGACACTGCCGCCTGTATGTGAATGTTGTGTGAACCGCATGAATTGATGTTGTGACTGAATTTGGGTTAACCATGTGGTAGTGATTAAATTGATGGGAGCGTAATAAACTGTTATGATGGTCATTTTTGGGAGAGGACTAAGTAAACTGAGGTAAGGAATTTTAGTTACTATGATTGGAATGTAGTGATTGAAGTACTGAGATAGTGTAGAGTGGTAAATTGGAACCAGGTTGAGATGCACTGTGTTTGGTAGGATAGAAGAATCTTTAAAAACCGGATTGGCAACATCCCTGATATAGAGCAGCCTGGCCTGGGTCCAGTCAGTTTGTGACTATTCATATGTGCTGGCGTCGAAGGTGAGACTGAATGGTTTCAGACATCTGATTCTTTCCCGATGAACCAATTGGTTAGGAGATGTGGTTGAAGGTGGAAATCTGTCTTAGACGTCGTGTTTAAAAAATAAGGTAGAATCAAAATTTGGGTCTTTGGTTGATGACTTTGGAAATTTAATTGAAAACTTGTTAGTAATCCACTTTAGAATCATGCTAATAACGTTTATCAATCATCTAGACAAGTTTTAATTAGGCGTGATAAAACAAGATTAGGAGGGGTTAGAGTTGGTGAAATAACTGGAAGTTGGTAAGATTAGTGTGAGTGTGTGATCGCAGAATTCACTTTCTGCAGATTATGCAGTGTCGCTATGCGAGTTGTCTCGCATAGCGAGACCCTGTAGAGGGGTGCTCACTGTCTTGGTAATTCGCTGTGCGTAGTTGGTGCGCTGTGCGAATATTAGAGGTTGATGCTCACTGTTTATGGACTCGCCATGATGAATCCTGTCGCTATGCGACTGGTGGTTGTCTGGGATCACTGCCCATTTAATTCGAAGAGCGAGTGGGGTGCATAGCGAGAGGTTTGAGGTGTGATGTATGCTGCGAATTAATTCGCCATGCGAAATAGGTGCGCTATGCGAATTTTAGATGTCCCTTTGTCAGGAAAATTCGCTCAGCGCACCAAGGGGGGTGCGCTGTGCGAATTATTGTGTGACAGATTAGTGTTTTTCGGTGTTTTTGATGTTTTGGGAGTTCCGGATGTCCGTTTTCGGATGTTCTTTAGTTCGTTTTTAGGGTTTTTGGACCTTTCCGGAACTGTTGGTGATGGTTTCAAAGTTGTTTTCTCTTTGTCTAAGTATGAGTTTAAGGGGTTCTGTGTTGTTTTAGTGGTTCTTCTTGGACTGTTATTGCCTATTAATGTACAGGGAATGGTTTCGTGTGATTTTTTATGACTTGTTAGTTGTTTGTGGTCTTTTGAAGTATAATTAGTATTATATCTAAGTTTGTAGCAATGTAAAAGTGAAAGTATGTGGTTTCTGAAAAGTATATGGATGGACTAATTCCATGATCCTCAAGGAGAGGATACATGGTGGTGTTTTGGGGTTGTATAGAATGATTACATGGTAGCTCAGTTTTGGGGTCATCCTGAAACTCCAATGGTCTTTCTTCTCATGTAGAGAGATTGAACATGTGGTGAGGAGTAGCAGGAGGTCCTAGTCTTGGATGCTTCCATATGATCCAAGGTGAGTGATAACGGATTAACCTCGTGACTGTGGCCGGGCGGTAATGCCCAAAGTTCCACCGGCGGTAGTGCCCAGTTTCACAAGGCGGTAGTGCCAGGGCGGTAGTGCCCAAGTTTCATAAGGTCACAACGAAGTGCATGACCCGCCATAGCTCGGTAATCATTCTAGTCCGGACGAGTCGGTCTATAAAGTAACAGGTCGGGGTTAAAGTAACAGTTTTGTAATGCCAATTTACCATGATTGATGACTTTTACATGTCGTGTGAGTGTGTGAACTATGGTTTAATGAGTATGGCTTAATTGTTCTTTTATATGAATCTATGTATGATACATGAATTAATCTGTGCTATCTGTATAACATGTTTTTTTTTTTTATATCTAGCTCACCCTTGCTTGCTTTGTTTGTGCATGTTGTATGTGTTTTCTTTTGCAATGATCATCCAATTGGATGTGAGCAGATGAAGAAGAGGTATGTGTGAGCAAGCACTGGAAGACGGTGAAGTTGCAGCTTAGTATGCTTAGCTTTTGATTTTGTAGAACTACTCTGGAGAAATTTTCAGTGGTCCTCTGTGTTTAAGAGACCAACTCTAATTTTATTTTGGATGACTGTAACTCATATAGTCTGCCTTATGTCTCTAACTGCTTTCCAATATTATAACTGAATGACGTCTTTATTATATATACATGTCGTATATTTTGGGGATGTCACAAAAGTTAATAAAAAAATTATATTATAAGTAATATAATATAATTTTTTTCGGTAAAAAATTAGTGCAATGGTGACCCATTAAAATCAACAAAATCCCATCCAACCATCCACCACTTTTACTAAATAGTGAAGGGGATCAGGTGGTGTCCTTTTCTCCACCCAACCTCGCCGCAGCTTCTCCTCCAATTCTGCCGCGGACGACGACGGTGAGGCGCGCGACGGCGACCGGTGCGACGGTATGTGACTCGACGGCGAGCGGTTCAGAAGAAGAAACGAACCAGTGCGGAGCAGCAGAAGAAAAAGAGCGAAACCCCAATCCCCTAATCAGTGAGTTTTTTTTTTTTTTTCACTTTCGCTACCAAACCACTGTCATTTTGAGTTTTAGAAATATTCTATTCGAAAATTGCGAGTTTGGCCGAGTTCACCGATTCTAGCTGATTCTAGCGAGTTTACATGAAAATCAAGTTTGCTTCCGAGTTAACTCGGGAGCTCTGCGTAGAAACGTCAACTCGTCTTAGTTAACCAGTCTACTCTCGAGTTTTATAACCATGATTTCACTGCAAAGGGACCTTCCTACATACAACATGATGTCCTTAGCTGTTACAACATTGACGCCTATTACTATCACTTTAACGACTTTAATGAGTTTTTATTTTCCAAAATGTGTTTCACTTTCACTTCAAATTATATTAATTAAAGACAAAAGAAGTTCAAACATATTAATTTCGGAAAGGAGTAATTCCATGACACATTAATCTTTTCGTATTTTGAAATTATTAAAAATATAAATTTTTTTTTGTTATGGTACTTCCTGAGCACGAGAAACTTAAATTCATATTTATAAATAGAATTAAATAGAAATTTTAAGATGTATTATAATTAAAATAATTAAATTTTACTGAAAATGTTTTAATATTCTTCTAAACTCGTGTGTAGTAACATTTTTCAACCTGTCTGACAGGAGAACCCTGGTAATTTAAATAGAAGTTCAGTTCCGAACCCAAAGTTCAAGGATGAGATTCATGGCGCACGTCTTGTTCAAACCTGCATGGAAACGTTCTTGGTCTAAAGCTATGTGTACCCAGAATTTGCAAATACTTTCATTTTCCCAGTACTCCACATTGCCGCCAGTATCTGTCTCTCCCCAGTTCCAAGAGCTCTGCAGCGTTGTCATGAGCACTGTTGGTGGGCTAGATGATCTGGAGTTGAGCCTAAATAAGTTTAAAGATTCTTTAACTTCGTCTCTTGTGAGTCAGACTATTGATTCTAGTAAGCACGAGGCACACACTAGAAGATTGCTCAGGTTCTTTTTATGGTCTAGTAAGAATCTGAATCATAGTTTGGAAGACAAGGATTACAATCATGCTCTTCGAGTTTTTACTGAAAAGAAAGACTACACAGCAATGGATATTTTGATGGGAGATCTCAAGAAGGAGGGTCGAGTCATGGATGCAGAGACTTTTGGTGTTGTAGCGGATACTTTGGTTAATCTGGGAAAAGAAGATGAGGCATTGGGTGTTTTCAAGAACTTAGACAAGTATAATTGTTCTATAGATGAATTTACTGTCACTGCTATCATTAATGCCCTTTGCTCCAAAGGGCATGCCAAGAGGGCTGAAGGGGTAGTTTGGCATCATAGAGACAAGATTACAGGCGCACTACCTTGCATATATAGAAGTCTTCTTTACGGGTGGTCTGTGCAGAGGAATGTGAAAGAATCTAGGAGAATTATTAAAGAGATGAAAACGAATGGGTTTATTCCAGATTTGCTATGCTACAACACATTACTCAGGTGCCTCTGTGAACAGAATCTTAGACATAATCCTTCGGGACTTGTTCCTGAAGCTTTAAATGTCATGATCGAGATGAGGTCTTATAGGGTTTTCCCAACCTCTATCAGTTACAACATACTCCTTTCTTGTCTAGGGAAGACCCGAAGAGTCAAGGAATCTGTTCAAATACTCGAAACAATGAAAAATTCTGGTTGTGATCCTGATTGGGTCAGCTATTATCTTGTGGCAAAGGTGTTATTTCTGAGCGGCAGGTTTGGTAAGGGGAAAGAGATAGTGGATCAAATGATTGGAAAAGGTTTGATGTCAAATCATAAGTTTTACTATAGTTTAATTGGTATTCTCTGTGGAGTTGAAAGGGTAAATCATGCTGTTGAACTGTTTGAGAAAATGAAGAAAAGTTCAATGGGAGGTTATGGACCTGTTTATGACGTGCTCATTCCAAAGCTTTGTAGAGGCGGAAATTTTGAGAAGGGGAGAGAGCTCTGGGATGAAGCTAAATCAATGGGCATCATTCTTCAGTGTTCCGAAGATGTTTTGGATCCTTCAATAACGCAAGTTTACAAACCTAAGAAGCCAGAAAAAAACAGTCTTGTAGACAGCTCTAAAGCCAAGTCTACACACAAAGTTAAAAAATTTGTTGGAAAAATAAAGATGAGAAAAAAATATGATGCAACAAAGAGGAAAAAAGTTAAAAAGTTTACTTCAAATTAATTTGATAGTTTTACAGTTCCAGTTCCCGCTTTCTTCTGCCCTTTTTCTCCAAAGAACATCTTATTATTGCTGCTTGCTTATTATAGATTAATATCGAATTAGTACTACTACAGTTTTGGGGTTATGAAGTACTGATAAGTCCCGGTTTTGTTGTATTTTTAGAGCCTAACATTGTGTCCTTGGGTTTTAGATTGCATTTACTTTTTAGTTTTAGCCAATATTTGGTTTTTCTTGAATAATTTGCGAATTTTATAAAAACATGTTAATTTGTAGTTTTTAGATATTTTTATTTATTTATTTTTTTCATAGAATTTTAGTTTGGTAGATTTCTAGTGATTTTGGGAAAATAAAGTCCAGCTTGAGTCAGTTTTAATTTGGAAAGTAAATTTTCAGCTTGGATTTTCGATTCAGATTTTATTTCAAGATTTTGCAATGTATGTGGACATGTTCTTTGGATCTCTAGTTGTTGTGCAGTGGTTTCTGCTGTAGCACTTATCCAGTCCAGTTAGAAGCAAGCTTGACCGAGAGTTGACTGAAGAATGGCTGGAGCAGTTGCAGTGACCTGTATTAGCCAGTGAGAAACTCAGAAGGACAGATGTCTCAAGCTTAGGTGACTTGCTCTAGCCTGTATGAACATTTAAGTTGGAATTGTTCTACTTGTTACCTAGTAGTCCTGTTATTGTACATACTTTTTACCTTTTGCTAGCAGTTTCAAAGACTTGTTCTCGACAGTTTTACTGGTTTTTCAGTTTTAGAAACATAGAGAAGCCTATATAAGGCCTGTGGCCGGACATATTGCAGTATGTGAGAGAGGAGAGTTCACTTTAGTTTAGATCTTCTTCATTTTTCTCTGAAGTTGGGAGAGGGGACAGTATCTCTCGGTGCTTTCCAGTTTCCAACTCCAGCATTTGTAATTCTTCATTCAGTTCCTAATGCATTCAGATTTGTTCTCTCTATCTCAATCTTCATTTTCTGTTTTGCTTGGAATTTCCTCAATTGAGAAACATAGACATTAGGTTTGGTCATGTTTTTTTCTTTTCAATATTGCGTCTTCTGTAACCTCAATTTCTGACTGCAATTGGGTGTTAATTGGTCTAAAGGATCTTCATAATCTAAGAGTTAAGATTTGAACTACTTGGCAGTTAAGCTTGAAAACGCAATGGTCAAAACTGAGTTTATGAAGTAACTTTTCAGAAATTTCAAGTTCTCGCTTCATTCTTTTCTATTTCTATGTTTGATTCTGATTTTTTATTCAATTAACTGTTCTCTAGCTATTCTCCTATTACGTTAATGATTCCAAACTTCCAAACCAAATCACATTCCAGATTTCTTGCAATTAAAGTGATAGTTAATTCAGTTTTGTTAGGTTGTTTGCTCCTGTTATTCATGTTCAACACTGGTTTCTTAATTCAAATTTCTGTTTCTAATTCTTTAATATATTTTTATGCAATATTTAGTTTTAGTTTAGTTGTCTGAAACATAGTCTCTTGGTTTAATTCAAGTTTAGCATTCAATTTCCAGTTCTGTTCCAAAAATAGAAGTTAGGTTTAAGTATTTTATAGTTTTTCCCCAATTAAGAATTTCATTTCTACACTTGCTTTTACTTTCAATCCTGCGTTCCAAATTGCAATAAACTTGTTTCTATATCATTTTGCATCTCTAATTCTGTTTAGTTTCATCTCATATTGCNGCTGTCTGGGCTTAAAACGTCAACTCGTCTTAGTTAACCAGTCTACTCTCGAGTTTTTATAACCATGATTTCACTGCAAAGGGACCTTCCTACATACAACATGATGTCCTTAGCTGTTACAACATTGACGCCTATTACTATCACTTTAACGACTTTAATGAGTTTTTATTTTCCAAAATGTGTTTCACTTTCACTTCAAATTATATTAATTAAAGACAAAAGAAGTTCAAACATATTAATTTCGGAAAGGAGTAATTCCATGACACATTAATCTTTTCGTATTTTGAAATTATTAAAAATATAAATTTTTTTTTGTTATGGTACTTCCTGAGCACGAGAAACTTAAATTCATATTTATAAATAGAATTAAATAGAAATTTTAAGATGTATTATAATTAAAATAATTAAATTTTACTGAAAATGTTTTTAATATTCTTCTAAACTCGTGTGTAGTAACATTTTTCAACCTGTCTGACAGGAGAACCCTGGTAATTTAAATAGAAGTTCAGTTCCGAACCCAAAGTTCAAGGATGAGATTCATGGCGCACGTCTTGTTCAAACCTGCATGGAAACGTTCTTGGTCTAAAGCTTGTGGTACCAAAATTTGCAAATACTTTCATTTTCCCAGTACTCCACATTGCCGCCAGATCTGTCTCTCCCCAGTTTCCAAGAGCTCTCAGCGTTGTCATGAGCACTGTTGGTGGGCTAGATGATCGGAGTTGAGCCTAAATAAGTTTAAAGATTCTTTAACTTCGTCTCTTGTGAGTCACTATTGATTCTAGTAAGCACGAGGCACACACTAAAGATTGCTCAGGTTCTTTTTATGGTCTAGTAAGAATCTGAATCATAGTTTGGAAGACAAGGATTACAATCATGCTCTTCGAGTTTTTGCTGAAAAGAAAGACTACACAGCAATGGATATTTTGATGGGAGATCTCAAGAAGGAGGGTCGAGTCATGGATGCAGAGACTTTTGGTGTTGTATCGGATACTTTGTTTAATCTGGGAAAGAAGATGAGCATTGGGTGTTTTCAAAACTTAGACAAGTATAATTGTTCTATAGATGATTACTGTCACTGCTATCATTAATGGGGGTGGTTTTCCCCATTTTCGCTTCATGCCTTCCCAAAGGGCATGCCAAGAGGGCTGAAGGGGTAGTTTGGCATCATAGAGACAAGATTACAGGCGCACTACCTTGCATATATAGAAGTCTTCTTTACGGGTGGTCTGTGCAGAGGAATGTGAAAGAATCTAGGAGAATTATTAAAGAGATGAAAACGAATGGGTTTATTCCAGATTTGCTATGCTACAACACATTACTCAGGTGCCTCTGTGAACAGAATCTTAGACATAATCCTTCGGGACTTGTTCCTGAAGCTTTAAATGTCATGATCGAGATGAGGTCTTATAGGGTTTTCCCAACCTCTATCAGTTACAACATACTCCTTTCTTGTCTAGGGAAGACCCGAAGAGTCAAGGAATCTGTTCAAATACTCGAAACAATGAAAAATTCTGGTTGTGATCCTGATTGGGTCAGCTATTATCTTGTGGCAAAGGTGTTATTTCTGAGCGGCAGGTTTGGTAAGGGGAAAGAGATAGTGGATCAAATGATTGGAAAAGGTTTGATGTCAAATCATAAGTTTTACTATAGTTTAATTGGTATTCTCTGTGGAGTTGAAAGGGTAAATCATGCTGTTGAACTGTTTGAGAAAATGAAGAAAAGTTCAATGGGAGGTTATGGACCTGTTTATGACGTGCTCATTCCAAAGCTTTGTAGAGGCGGAAATTTTGAGAAGGGAGAGAGCTCTGGGATGAAGCTAAATCAATGGGCATCATTCTTCAGTGTTCCAAGATGTTTTGGATCCTTCAATAACGCAAGTTTACAAACCTAAGAAGCCAGAAAAAAACAGTCTTGTAGACAGCTCTAAAGCCAATCTACACACAAATTAAAAAATTTGTTGGAAAAATAAAGATGAGAAAAAAATATGATGCAACGAAGAGGAAAAAGGTTAAAAAGTTTACTTCAAATTAATTTGATAGTTTTACAGTTCCAGTTCCCGCTTTCTTCTGCCCTTTTTCTCCAAAGAACATCTTATTATTGCTGCTTGCTTATTATAGATTAATATCGAATTAGTACTACTACAGTTTTGGGGTTATGAAGTACTGATAAGTCCCGGTTTTGTTGTATTTTTAGAGCCTAACATTGTGTCCTTGGGTTTTAGATTGCATTTACTTTTTAGTTTTAGCCAATATTTGGTTTTTCTTGAATAATTTGCGAATTTTATAAAAACATGTTAATTTGTAGTTTTTAGATATTTTTATTTATTTATTTTTTTCATAGAATTTTAGTTTGGTAGATTTCTAGTGATTTTGGGAAAATAAAGTCCAGCTTGAGTCAGTTTTAATTTGGAAAGTAAATTTTCAGCTTGGATTTTCGATTCAGATTTTATTTCAAGATTTTGCAATGTATGTGGACATGTTCTTTGGATCTCTAGTTGTTGTGCAGTGGTTTCTGCTGTAGCACTTATCCAGTCCAGTTAGAAGCAAGCTTGACCGAGAGTTGACTGAAGAATGGCTGGAGCAGTTGCAGTGACCTGTATTAGCCAGTGAGAAACTCAGAAGGACAGATGTCTCAAGCTTAGGTGACTTGCTCTAGCCTGTATGAACATTTAAGTTGGAATTGTTCTACTTGTTACCTAGTAGTCCTGTTATTGTACATACTTTTTACCTTTTGCTAGCAGTTTCAAAGACTTGTTCTCGACAGTTTTACTGGTTTTTCAGTTTTAGAAACATAGAGAAGCCTATATAAGGCCTGTGGCCGGACATATTGCAGTATGTGAGAGAGGAGAGTTCACTTTAGTTTAGATCTTCTTCATTTTTCTCTGAAGTTGGGAGAGGGGACAGTATCTCTCGGTGCTTTCCAGTTTCCAACTCCAGCATTTGTAATTCTTCATTCAGTTCCTAATGCATTCAGATTTGTTCTCTCTATCTCAATCTTCATTTTCTGTTTTGCTTGGAATTTCCTCAATTGAGAAACATAGACATTAGGTTTGGTCATGTTTTTTTCTTTTCAATATTGCGTCTTCTGTAACCTCAATTTCTGACTGCAATTGGGTGTTAATTGGTCTAAAGGATCTTCATAATCTAAGAGTTAAGATTTGAACTACTTGGCAGTTAAGCTTGAAAACGCAATGGTCAAAACTGAGTTTATGAAGTAACTTTTCAGAAATTTCAAGTTCTCGCTTCATTCTTTTCTATTTCTATGTTTGATTCTGATTTTTTATTCAATTAACTGTTCTCTAGCTATTCTCCTATTACGTTAATGATTCCAAACTTCCAAACCAAATCACATTCCAGATTTCTTGCAATTAAAGTGATAGTTAATTCAGTTTTGTTAGGTTGTTTGCTCCTGTTATTCATGTTCAACACTGGTTTCTTAATTCAAATTTCTGTTTCTAATTCTTTAATATATTTTTATGCAATATTTAGTTTTAGTTTAGTTGTCTGAAACATAGTCTCTTGGTTTAATTCAAGTTTAGCATTCAATTTCCAGTTCTGTTCCAAAAATAGAAGTTAGGTTTAAGTATTTTATAGTTTTTCCCCAATTAAGAATTTCATTTCTACACTTGCTTTTACTTTCAATCCTGCGTTCCAAATTGCAATAAACTTGTTTCTATATCATTTTGCATCTCTAATTCTGTTTAGTTTCATCTCATATTGCATAATTCTGAGTTTGATCATTGTACTTAGCTTAATTCGTGAGAGCGTTCTTTAACAGTTTAATTTTTGAGTTACATTTGATTTTCTCGTTTTCATGTGTTTGATTCAGTTCTATAGTTGTTATTACTTGTAATCTTACATTTTAAATTCGTTCATAGTATTTCTATTCAGCTTAGATCATTCTAATTAAATTCTGCAAAGTCAACTTCATAATGCATAGTGAGTTTTATGTTCTTCATAGTTTTTATCGCTAGTTCATGTTGCACTATTCCATTAGTTGATTTTACCGGATTAGGTTGGTGCTAGAGGAGGAAGACTCGTGATTTGTTACAGGTCTGATGGCGTCGTGGATGTAGATGTGGTGGTTGCAAGTTCTCACGTTGAGTGACACGATTCTTACGGCGGCGACGACCTGAAATAGGCTTTGTTGCGTAGCGGTGGTGGCGACCTAAGGTTTTGGAAGCACGAGGAAGATGATGCGCGAAGATGGTGGTCTGGCAAGCTGGGACCCTAATCAGAAATACATTTTCAAAAATTAGGGCTTAGGTGGTGGAGAAGATGATGGAGGTGCGAAGATGGTGGTTGGCCGTGACTGTGGTGGCGACGGTTAGGATTAGGTGGTGGCTAGGGTTTCTGTGTAGGGAAAATTAGGGCTTCTGGAGGTAGGAGATGATGATGACGTGTCAAGGGTGATGTGTCATTTATTGCTCAGCTGGATACTGCACCGTGAACGATTTAAATGCCGCTTGCAAAAAGAACTAAATTGAGCATAAATTACATTCTTTACGACAACATTGAATAGAAAAAAAATTTATGACCATTTCGAATAAAACTGACAAAAATTGAGACCAAAATTGGTATTAAACATACTTTATAAGAATACTTTATGGACATGTTGGAGTGAGAACAACAATATCATTGGTTAGATATGGGCATGTCTTATTTTTCTGGTTTGTGTACTTCCCTCACCGTTCATAACTTTCACAGGAACTTGAAGAGAATAACTAACATAAAGTGCATCTCTCCTATACTTCACCCTTGTCAATGACAACGACTTGATTATTGTTTTCTGTAGCGTGGTTCTTCTAAGCAAGAGGTTCTTATCAGTCAACTTCCCATAAACTGAAACCCAAAACAGAGACATTGTTTTCCTGCAGATTTTTGTCTCGACCGCATTGATTTTCCAGGAGCTTTTTCGATCGCTTGCACATATTTTCAAATTACTTATCAACTTTATTATTGAATTCCATGGTTCAGACCTAGCATCGGAAATCATTTTTGAATCTCCTTGTAATAGTTTTCGAACGTTGTGTTTGCACGATACCACACGATGTATGCAGAGAAAGAGGAGCACATGCTTGGAAAAGCTTGTAGAAGCTTCCGTTTCAAAGGCATCTAGATTCAGAAATCAGTTATTGTAGGAATTAATGACACTTGCCCACCCCATCGCACAATCTCATGTTTCTATTTTGTCTGTCTTTTTGAGGTTTGCTTGGTAGAAGTATAATGCTCCTTTTTCCCTTTAGGAGGTGAATGTGCTATTTTTGAAACTACATCATCGTCCAGGTAAGACAGTGGCAGAGGCTCATAACACAGTATTACAAAATGGAGGTAGCAAGCAGAAGATCAAGATCTGGGAACCCCTCACATGGGTCCATGGCACATGTAAGTTAAGCAGAGGAATGAGACAAGAAGAAGGCGTCAATATAGGGATGTTGTGGGGCCCATTTAGCTCTCACCCACGTTTCCAGTTTCCACTCTTCAATCCAACATTCCATCACAATGGAAGTGGAATCCACGCGCTTCCCATTCACCTACGTGGTTGTTCCCAGAAGATGCGAATAAGCGAAGGACGCGTTGACAGTATAAAGATGATGTTGCAAAGAAGTGCGTAACAACAGTGAAGGGACAAGATGGGTCCAATGCCAGAACGTCCTAAGCTGGATTCGGCTCCATCTAGATGCATAGTTACGTGCGGTGAGTTAATTGGTTTCCCCCTTTCTTCTATAAATATCCTTAAGTATCACAAGTTCCTTTATATGGTCTGGTTTGGCACATAAGTCATTTTTCTTAAATTTATTTTTTCATTCTCTAGTAAGTTAAGATTATCTGCTCTTTTGTCTGGGGTTAACTCTTTAACCACATTCCTCCCTTTTGACCTTTTGTCTCTTTTTAACTTGTCGGATTGGGGAATTTGTTGACTTCTCTTTTCTGTCCAAGCACTGAAAAATAAATTCTTGGTTTCTTGGGACATTAATGAAATAGTTTTACAAGATCAATTCATCACTTATGATTGGCGTAGTTTTTAAATGAATTAGCATTTTTGTTATTCTGTCTAAAGTTACCAACTTTTGATTTTGTTTTCTATAATTATCTTTTTCGATTCTTATAAAATGTTGAGTTTTTGGTTTTACTCTTTGTAATATTTTTATTTGATTTTTATCCCTCTGACAATTTAAATAGTTCTTTTTAGTCTCTAATATTCATTTTAAGATATATAAATAACATTTTATAGATAATACACACCCACATCGTGTTATATTATTAGTATGTGTAAGTTGAAATGGTTATTTAACTCATAAGTAGTTAACTAGGACAATGTAATAGTATGGACTAAAAGTGGTAATATTTAATTTTAAGAGGACCAAAACAAAGATTTTTAAATAGGACCAAAATAAAAACAAATTAATTTTACATTAAGTAAAAATATATTTAATATCTTTTAGAAAGATTAATATAAAGCTTATGTATTAATCCTGCATAAATTGTATGTAAATGACAATGAAATAAATTATTTACATTGCAAATATATGCAGCATTGTCTAAAATTATCATCTTAAAATGAAATCTTTAGATAATTTTTATAAATTACTAGTGGAAAACCAATTCGAGTCAATGAAGCTAGAAGCATTAATATAAAGTAAGTATTGTGACTATATAAAATCAATTTAATCTTTTCATAGATTGTATTGCATACTTAATGAATTAAACAAAGAGACATTCATTGATAATATGTGATTTACTTAATACTAATATAAAATTTAGTTTTGTTGACATGTCTACTTTCACATGTTTCATAGTCCTTAACTCAACATATATGTTTTTAGTTCTTCAAATTTGATAATTATGTGATTTTAATCTTGTTTGGAGTGCAACATATATGTTTTTAGCTCTTTAAATTTGATAATTATGTGATTTTAATCTTGTTTGGAGTGCAGACTTGTTGATGG